AAAAAGTCATCGCGTTTTTTTAAAAGACATCTATCAGTAAAAACCGCAATTACTTTCTTACCAACAATATAAATATATCTTGATAGAGTAAAGTTTCAGCTTTAAAAATCTCTTTTTTAAATTATACGATACGACAATTTTTAATGGAGTTATGAGCAATTAAAGTCAAAATAATTCTTTTATTTAATCCGCGATAACTCAGTAATCAAAAGTCGTAGGAATATTAAAAAAAAACGATTTTGTAGGGAAAGTATCAAGCTTTCACGATAGGTAATCGAAAATTTTCTCAAATTCGTTTTGGACACGTTACAAATCCACAAAGTGAGAAGAAAATTTTTCGTCTTTTTCAGCTCGTAGTTTTTGGTATGTAAAAATTATCAAACTCATATAAACTTAAAAAATGTGATAAGTTTTTAAAAGTAGAGATTTCAAGCTTTGAAACCCTTTTTTTAAATTTTCAATATTATAAAGTGGCTCAATGTTAAGAAGGTTAAGTAAAAAAGGAGCATACAGCCACACTCGAGATGTCAATAAGTTATATATTAATTATTTCTTTGTGGCGGTCTTCGTCGTAGTTGGAACTTGATATAGCGTGATAATGTTTTACAATCGGGATGGATTGCTTAGAGTAATAAAATGATTCCACACAACAAATTAAAGAAGAATACTGGACGGCCGACTGTTAATTCTGTTAAAAATCATTGCAAAATTGTTATAATGTAAAATGCGGATACCGAGGCGAATAATGCACAATAAGGAGCGAGAAATTATTACTGACTAACATTAGGAATAAATTTAAATTATGTAACTAGGTTTAAATAAATTTAGGTTTTTATTATTGTACTGAGGATGGTCAGATGGTGACCGAAACGTCTACTTTGTTAAATGTTTATTATTAATATATAATTTATTGACATCTCGAGTGTGGCTGTATGCTCCTTTTTTACTTAACCCTTTTTTTAAATTTGAATTTCATTCATTATTGACGAAGATATTGTATATACAACTTTGAGCTAAAAAATACGCGATGACTTTTTACTCAACCTAATATTAACACAGATAGATACGCTCTGGTCGCAGATAGATACGTCTTGATCTGTTTTTTCTATTGTCCGAGAATCGTTCGGTACGAACAATAGGAAAAACGGATCGAGATGTATTTATGCAGAGATAATTACAGTGAATCGATATTTATATTCGAACATTAGAATGGACAGATTTCGATACTGAATTTATAAATATTATTACGTATAAATATTATCCTTCAATAAGTTAAACTTGACAAAACATGAAACATCGAAGAGTAATTCAAACTCCAAGAATAATTATATTAATTACATTTATTATGATTAATAAAGTGCGAATAAATTACAGCATAATAGTATAAATACATATTATTAATAATGTAAAAGACAAACTTTTTGTAGCGTTAATCATTTTGCTAATCAAATTTTATATAGGATGTCTCCATTCTCTAGAATAGAATACATAATTACACACAAAAAATGTTGAAAAAGTTTAAAAATTATTACGAAAGATTGAAAAAAACATACTAAAATATATTAATTAACATTAATTATCATTAAATGAACAATAAATATAATTAAAAATATAGCTCAGATAAATAAATTGTTAATTATAATTCATTGTTATTAGCTCTATACAAATGTAATTTATATAATATCAATTCTTATTATTAAATTCTATTAAATTATTTTATTACACATATTATAATTATACTTCTTCCATAAGATAACAGAGATATTTGACATTTTAGCAAATTAATTTTTTTATGTATTTTCTTCTTGTTGTTAATAATTAATAATTTTGTACTGTGACATTATTATCTGGATAAATGTAAAAACACAATAGGCTATAATTGAATAACTGGCAATATTAATGAATAAGAATGTTCGGTCAAGGAGTTGGAGAATATCTATATGTGTTACTTCCTATGAAAACAACTTTGAGAAAAATCCCCTTAGTTATAAAAATCTAAGTAACAAATTTATTATGTACATAAAATATCCTATTAGATTTTGCGATAAATCACTTATATTTATATACACTTCTCACAAAAACATTATTAAATTTGTCATATTTATAACAAAAATATATATTATGATATTATTTTAATAAAACATTTTTCATTTTTAAATATCCAAAATAATGAAAGTAAATAACATGCTATAAATAAACAGGAATGGTACAATTTATTGGAAGTTGGCTGATCTAATCTTCTTTTATCTTAGTAAATGTTGAGAAAACAAAGATGTAAGCAGAAAGACATATTCATAAATCCATATTTAAAAATATTTTCGTCATTAAAAATGGCGCAACGTTTATCATTCCAAATAAACACAAGTAATTAATTTCAAATATAATTGTTCAGTTTTATATAGTAACGTATCTATATCTGTGTGTGTGTGTGTGTGTGTGTGTGTGTGTGTGTGTGTGTGTGTGTGCGCGCGCGCGTGTGTGTATCAGTACATATAAAATATTGAAATGCAAATTATTTAATAACAAAAGAGAATTTTTGTTACTGATATGTCAAGCAATTAAATAATATTGTAATTTTCTAAAATTAGAAGAGTCCAATAATAACTAAACATAAACTTGATATTTCTTTGATTTAACGATAAGTACGAATATATAGATGCACACCAAAAGTAAATATAAATTTTTTAATATAAATAAACTAATAACAATTATAAATTACTACTTAATAAATTAATAACTAATTAATAACTATTATAAATTATTAAATATAAATAAATTAATAACCATTAATCGTTTGTATGTAAATAAAATTAATTTTATATAATATTATAGTATATGTTAAAATATTAGATCAGTGCAAAAATTCATGCCCGATTTATTATTCAAACTTCAAACAGCTGCTATTTTTGTAAAAATAAAATAGATTCTAAATCTTACTCTGATAAGAGAATTAAAAATTTTTTTTTTTTAATTGTGATGATTTTGATGGAGTTATGAGCAATCAAAGTCAAAATATTCATTTTATTTAATTTGCAATAATTCAGAAACAAAAAAAATCGTAGGCACATTTAAAAAAAATGATTTTATTGGGAGAACTTTAAGCTTTTACATTAGAAATTCAAAAATTTTTGCAATTTTTTTTAAATATGTGACAGGCCCACAAAACGAAAACAAAATTTCTCGTTTTGTTTAATTCGTAATTTTCTACATATGTAAAAATTACAAAATTCACATAAATTCAAAAAATATAGTAACCATTCGAGAGTAAAGATTTCAAGCTTTAAAACCTTTTTTTAAATGTAAATTTTGTTTATTTATATGAGATGGTTGCTTTTGCCTACAAATCGTTTACCTACAGTATCGTTTGCCTACATTACTTTTGACAGTTTATTTGCACACAAAAATTATTGCCTACAGTTCGATTGTCTACATGCACTTTTGCACACAAATAAAAATTTTAGAAATGGAATTACTTTTGCCTACATGTATTATTGCTTACATGTATTATTGCCTACAAGTATTATTGCCTACATGCACTTTTGCACACAAATATAAAATTAAAGTTAAATAAGAAAATAATTTATATTTTTAGGAAATCTGTCATGTGAATAATGGGATGTCAGCGTAGACAGCGACAATATTCTGCTTGGAATATTTTTCCAAAAAAATATAATCTTAACCAATCTCCATTTTTTGGTGTGAGATGGCCCTCATTTCGCGTGGAAGGTTGTGAGCTGTAGGCAATAATGTATGTAGGCAATCGACCTGTAGGCAATAATACATGTAAGCAATCGAGTTGTAGGCAATAATAATGTAGGCAAAAATAACTCCGTTTCTAAAATTTTTATTTGTGCGCAAAAATGTATGTAGGCAAAAGTGATGTAGGCAAACAATACTGGAGACAATCGATTTGTAGGCAAATGGGATCCCCCTTATTTATATTAAATATATTAAAATACATATAAATCTTGATACGTATAATTAAAATATTATCTTAGATTAAAACATTATTTTTTCTAAATGCTTAATATAAAACATAAAAATTATTAATATAATATTAATACTCTTAAGAAGATTCTGAAGTAATCCCCAAATTCGACATTAAAGTTGTATAAAAATCTCCGAATTGACTAAAAGAAATAAAAAAAGTAAGAGCATGCAGTACCATTTAAATCAAAAAATGTTAAAAGCTTACTTAACTTTTTCTCGATTTTAATAAACTCCACTGTATTACCTTTTAATTTTACATCTACCTTAATCCTGTAAAAAGATTTTTGATTCCTAATTTGATCACTCCAGCATCCCCTTAAGTAAATACTATATTGGCCTTTAGCTAATTTTTAGCTTCTCTATTAGTTCGCGCTTTTAATTTATAAAAAAAACTTCTTTCAATTTCTTATCATTTTCAGTCTTTATTAGTTTATAAATAAAAGATAGTAAGGATGTAAATACAATTCTCTCGATAATTAAATATTTCTAAATCGCTATTACTAAATCGAATATTAATAAACATTTTATATTTTATTTAAATTATATAATATTTATTTATTCTATATTTACATGTAAATCAAATATCTATACAGCATAATATCTAATACCTAAAGCAAAAAAAAATATAATTTTAATTTTAGTATATATACTTATATATAATATGTATTTAACAGATTTTTATTATTGCACAGCAACCATTTTTAGTGCTTCAAATTTAATTTTTATTTAAATTCAATTTTTAAAACTTAACATTATATTATATTTAATATAATCATGTATTTAGTCTAAAGTTTAATAATAAAATTTAAAACTAATTAATTATTAATTTGATAAAATAACTCTATCTACTAAATAATATTATGCAATTGTTATCTTTTATACATATATATTTATCTTATAATATATATTTACCTAATACATATATATTTAATAAATAATATTAATTATATGTATAAACACGCACGCATAATTAGTATTATTTGCTTAATTTAAATAATACAAAACCGCCTATCTTAATTATCTTTCTGTTTAGGTAATTTAATGTAGTTTTTTTTATAAAAATCATAAAATAAGTATAGAAATAGGAATAGATTTCCAATAAAAATAGGTACTATTCCTCGTGGCGATTCACAATTGGAATTTAAAAATTGCAGTAGAAGCACTATTATCACGATAAATTGGACCTAATTTCAAAAGAGAAATATTTTAAAAAATGGAGTACTAATAATACTATATTATTTAAACAGAAAAATATATATTGAAATAATTAAAATATATTTTAGAGAAAATTACAATGTAAATTGATATATAATTTCTTTTCGCTTGTATAACTTACAACAGATTAATAAATAGTAATACCCAGGTCAACAAAATGAACGAGCTGTAATTAGATGTAACAATGTAATATTTATTATTCGCAACTATAATTTTCAACGATAAGTTTTAACGATACATTTCGACTTTACTTAGTCCTCATCAGTCATAGAAATACAAAATTACCTCATATATCCAATTAGATTAACATATTATGAGGATCATCTCACCTTTGAGTTAGATATAGACAATAGACGGTATAACCACATTATATTTAGTCAAATTTGTCAAATTATAAACGATGTAATGATGAGTCATAATTCCAAACCAATTCTTCGGTTAATAGCGAGAAAGGGCGTCAGTATGAGTAAAAGAAGAAAATTCAGAAGAAAGTAGCATTATTATAGCTTGATATCAAATTATATAAGATAATTGTAAGTACATCCTTAATAACGTTGGAAAATTAAAGTAATCATAAAGACAAATACAAGTTAAATTGGTAAGTTTACAGCTGTCTATTACGAATGCGAAGTAAAGAACATGGAATCGATTACTATTCAATGATACAAACTTACCGTTGAAAATAATATTTGAGAATAATAAATATTACATTGTTACACCTAATTATAGCTCATTCATGTTGTTGACCTGAATGTTCCTACTTGTTAATCTATTTTAAAGAAAAAATATAATAACATTGCACGTGTGATTAAATTATGAACTATTATAACATATTTATACCTACCATCTGCAGTTTAGTTACAAGTGGTTTAATAGGAGATATCATCTGTTGGAGTTCCGGACCCAATGCAGCAATGAAATAGTATATGTACATTATTACATGCACGGCACAATTAATTAGTGAAATAAATGTTCCCCTTTCATCCAAAATATACTTCAAATAATACCAGAGAAATATTAAATTAGATACATGATGATACACGTGTAAACCAGAAACTTGGTTTTGTTTCTTTCTTAGTACAAATACACAAGTTTCGACGTAATCGAAAAGTTTTAGAAAAATTAACCACCATACCAAATTAAACAGCTGAAATACAATTATTATATACAAAACGTATAAAGTATTACCATTTAAATATAAAATTGTCCATGTGAATATCGATAGTCAATGATAAAAGAATTATTATTAAAAATTATTGATTAAGTAATATATTAATTTTTCTTCGAAATTTAATATGTAAAATTCAAATATAAATACAAACTTTTATTTGTATTAATTGTTTTTTGTGCTGATTAAAATCTGCCTAATGACTATCAATATAACTTTTTAAAACGTGCATTTTCTGCTTCTCTTCAAAAATGATATAATTGCAACTGAAGAATTAAATTTACACTTAATAATATCTTTTATATAAGCATTAACTTATGAACAATCTAATTAATATATTATAAAAACGTACTTTCATCGCATTAACAGAATTTGAATTAGACGGTCGACATATGAAAAAGTATTCTGAAAACCAGCCATAAGATACATGCTGTTTGACGAACCATAAGTTTGCCAGAATTTGAATCACGTCATAAATTAGTATAAAGGTTCTCAACTCGTATGGCGGTCGATCTTTCATTAAACGTGGACCAGCATAAAGAACAAAATACATATATCCAAAAGTAATTAGCATCAGTGGATATGGCGAAGACACAAGTGGCCATTTGCGAGTTTGTTCGACTGCAAATATATAATTTTTGAAATAATGTAATTATTTCCTAAAAATAATCTGAATAATCTTTCTTCAATAAAACTTTAGAGTACTAATACTTTCGATATACGATGTTGTATACGATGTAAAATAATTATTTTAATATAAGAGTTATATGCAAACAACAATTTTTTGCAAACAAAAAATTTCTATCAAAAGCAAAGAAGTATCATGTTTAAATATTTATATTTTATAAGTATTTTTACAGAAAATATTCTGCTTTATTTTGATAGGAAATGAGACAGCAAAAATTTTCGAAATTTTTTCCAAAGATCTTCTTTCTACCCACTAAAAGCAAATTAGTGTATTATTAATGACTTCAGTGCTACACTTGTAACTGATTCAATCTGTAGAAATCACAAACCAAAAAGTGTATTATTACTAAAAAACAGTAAGTATTTACTGATAATTACGTCAATTATAACTTTATAAGTGCAACAATAAAGTTACTGATTCAAGAGAGTACATTTTCGGAATTTTTAAAATTAATTTATACTTTATATAAAATATGCGCGCACGTATATATACGTTTATTAGATATTATAAATATATGACATTTATTTTTATTTGGAAACTTTATAATGATACCAAATTGCTATTAATATCTAGTATAATATCTAGTAAAAATGTTTTTTCAAAAATACGTGTCATATTTCCCTAATATCATATATTAGAAAGTATGTGAACTTAAAAATATAGAATATTACTCACCCGATAGTTCTTCGAACAAATAATGATGTAATTCTCCCAAACCCATCGTGAAAGAAATCGGTATCAATTGTATATTATATCAATATCCCTTATTTAACTTATTATCTTGTAATTTTGTCATTTGTCAATAAAGCTTCAACGGTTACCTCCGTAAGTTTGTAATGCTAGACTGCTTCTGTCACGTGTACAATTACCGTGCTAGTATTTAAAGCAACGAAAGATGAACTTCGAACTTAGGATTGAATGTAGTTCCGGTATGAATGTAATTTTACTAGAGAAAATTACTCCATTAAAAAATTTTTCATTATTTTATGACAAAATAAATTACTAATAAATAAATAGAATATAAAGTATTAATAAAAAATAAAAAAGTTAATTCTCTTAAAAAACAAATTAATTTCCTTAAAACGTCCAGCAAAATTTCGTTATGCGATGTTATATTGAGAAATCACATTTGCAATAAGTACTGTGATTACTTACATTGTCATCCCATGAGAAGTTTACGGAATAACTTCGAATTGTCGTTTTTTTCCATTGAAGAAACAAAGGTATAATCATTTACTTACCTGAAACAGAAAAAAAGGAATAAAAAGTGACAGGAAAAATGGGGACAATTGCGAATAAATGAGTGATTGACATATTCCATTAGATTCTAAAATATAGACCAATCAGATAAAAGAGCTTATTTATGTCCACGATAGATCTTGGCATCTACAATGAGATTGCCATATAAACCAAATTTCTGCGTTCGTGCAAAAAAATATGGCAAAATATGAAAAACGACATAGCATATTCGTGCATCCTAGCAGATTTCGATGCTTATTTGCAGAATCCGTAAATGTGGAATGTACCTATATATGGCTGTCGAAATATTTTGTAAACCGGTTGCAAGAGAAACTCTGTTGATTAATGCTAAAATATTTAACTAAGAGAAAAAGACAAAGGGGAAGAGAAATCTCGCTGGAACAATTGCTCGATTTACGTAATATATTGTGTATTTGACACAATAAATCACATAATAATTAAAAATCTTAAGCCTATTGACGCATTAGTTGATTTATTGGAATTTCATTGTGTAACACAAAATATATGATGTTATCGTATGTAGTAGAAAGATAACACAGCTTCCAAATAATTTTACGTACCTACGTAAAATTTATTATGAAACTAAATTTTTTTACTAATAATCTGTAAGACTACAATCATCTATAATTCAGGTCAAATTTCACGATAAAATTTTATTTATAACATAACAAATAAAATCAAGATCCTGTATCTCCCAGCTCGAGCCTGTATTCTCCGATACAACAATTATATTCTTTATATATCTTTAATTCTTTCTACACTTGAACTACACTACTTATAAACTAGTCTCTTTATAGCCTTGTTCCATAAATCTGTTCCGTAATCTGTTTCAATATCAAATACTAATTCAGCTATGAGACTTTTTATATCCATTAAAAACATTTTCTCCAACAATCTTTTGAAATAATACAAATAATAAAATGTTTAAATGTAAAATACATTACTTAGATCGAAGCGCCGGTATTTTTCTTAATAAGTTTATTACAGTTTTTTAAGATTTGAGAAATTTGGGGGGATTATTAATATTTCAGAATTATTGCGTTGAAAGTCCGACAACAATATCGGCACGTAATTATCATTTCTGAAATTAATTCATTTAAATAAATATAATACATAGTAGTTCAACATCTTTCAATATCTTAACATTCAGACCGGAGTGGCGCTTCGTACCTAAGTAATGTATTTAACATAAAACGGTCTTGTTTCCAATCATATTGTTTAAATGTAAATTATATCTTTAATGCTGTAGAAAAAAACAAATTAACATATTTTTATTCAAGAATCAGAATTTTCATTAACCTTTTGTGTAAATAAGCAATCCTGCATTGTGACCAGATTTCAGTTTTTCTTTATGTGGAGCATCTCTGAAATCCAGATATCTGTATAATATTGTATATAATATTTTTGTATATGATATTTCTTGATCCAAGATCTTCATATTTTATCAATGTCTTAATTAATTTGCGAAAAGTCTGTGATAATTAAATAATGAAATGCATTGTATTACAAAAATATTTTTTTTATATTCAATTGTTCTTGTTATTATATATCTGACTTACATTGACACATTGCAGTTTTTATTTTTTGTCATATACATCATATAATTTCATGAGCTATGATATATTAGAATTTTGTGAACTTTCTTCAGCTAATTAAAACGTCTCTATCTCATTGTTAAATTTACATTCTTAAATTTATATTATATAGTTTCTCTATTCTTCTATTTACAATTTTTTAATTAAAATTTATAATTACCTATAATTTTATACGGCGTGTATTTTGAGCGTATATATTTTAATATGTATGTACGCAAAATTATTTAATTTCTCTTAATTCTATTTATTTTTTTTTATACTATAAAATCTGCTTAGATAATTTATAGTTCGTTACAAACAATTTATTTTACATCAAAATAAATTTATTTTAATATATTTAAATAAAAATATTTTAATTTATATCAAAATTCAAGAATTTTATATATAATAATACATAATATTATATTATATATGAAATTCTTGAATTTTTATTTCAAATATAAATTATTTTTAGCGAACTATAAATTACCTAAGCAGATTTTATAGTATAAAAAAAAATAAATAGAATTAAGAGGAATTAAATAATTTTGCGTAAAATATTATATATACATCAGCGGAAACATGATTATCTTTTCTAACATAAACAAATGGATATTAAAAGAATTTTTTTCGTTCTAATTAAAACATAAGTGTTTTTTTTTTGCATATATTTAAAAAATTATTAACGCTGAATGGTATACATGTATTAATATCCTATAAACCCTTGGTTCAATACATAATACATTGCAACGTCGCTTTTTGCAAGTACATGAAAGAAAAATTTTTCAAAGCTTGTCCTAAAAAGATGGGACAGACATTCATCTTTATAAAAGAAGAAGGCAATGCTATCTTTTTAAGTTGAGCATATTCAAAGGTTGACGAAATCCTCCAGGGTCTTCATCAAATTTTTAGTTCTCTGCAGCTCTTACCTTCCATCATAACTCGCATGTCTATGTCTACCTTCATCAAAATTATGGTCTTTCTAAGATCAGCTCGAGTGCGCGTCACAAACACTGAATGTCCCCAATATAAACCGAAACTAGTACAGTCGTCAAGAAACTGTTAACTTCCTAGTTAGTTAAGACGTTGCGTAATACTGTGCGATATAAAACAATAAAAGAAATCTAAGTTTTTTTCTTAGTTTTATTTAATTCATTATAGTCATCAAAGAAAAACTGGAAAATCGCATTTTAGTACACAGAGTCTAGCTGTCGACTTCAAATATATATATATAAATTAAAGAAAATGTATTCGCCGCTGTTAACAACATAATTAGTCATAGTATATAATTCAATGAATTAGTAGATAACTCAATTAAACAGTCGTACTTCCACACTTTTGTAAACAAATAGATAATGTAATAAAAAGTACAACATCCGACTTTACAAACTTTTTTGCTCGTCTATAGCAAAGAAAGTATCTTGCGTATCAGGATGTGCATATGGATGCTATGTATCAGTCGAATTCCAAAAGGAAACGAAACGAGAACGAGCGAAGTAAAGGGGGATCGACATAAGCATTTTAAACGAGTGGGTTCGCATCCGCCGCTTTTGTGCCTTACGAGCTGTTATATCGTTGCTGCATATTGTACTTCGTCCTGGGCATTGTCTCTGTTAACTAACAACACGACAGTTGGCGTTGGTGTCTGTCGGCACCGGCGACAATGACAGTGCCTCCACGACACAACCTACGTGGCACACTTTAGTTTCCAACGTGTAAACGAGGAAATTCTGAAACCCATTTCCTTTGCTGACGCAACGCTCGATTAATAAAATTCAATTGATATTCGTAATGAATAATCCGACGCGCGTTTCGATTATGCGATTTATTGTAAAAGGATGTGAACGTTGTAGTAGTGTCAATAACAGTTTCATGACATAGCGAAATTGTAACTATTTATTTAAGACAATTGACTAATTTTAGACGATCAAATAACATGACAAGAAACTTATAAGTTTTAAATTTCTCTTTTAAATTTCTTTTTTTATGTAATTTCTCTTTTATCAAAAGAAATTAAAGCTTTCCTTATAATCGTATGAAAATATTTCACTGAGAAAAATTAAATATTATAATAATACTAATTAAAAAAAATATTTTTTTAAATTATTTTGAAACAAACAAAGTATTCCTTATAAATTTTCGCATGCCGAAAATGATGTCACAAGCCAAAATTTTATCAACATATCAAATTTTATTTGGTATAGAAATATTAAACTTAGAAAAAAGCCTTAAAAATCCTATACTCACACTCAATACAATATGGGAGTGGATTTAATACCATGATCTACATAATTCTCATCATGTTAATACTAACATCAATATTATGTGGACTTTACCTTTATTTGAAATAAATTAGAACAATATTCAGATTTCATGACCAGAGAGACAAATACAATCAAAGAAATAGTTCCTAAAAAGGTAGAGCATCAGGGGTATTGCTGTTTATAATCCTAAATCTTGTCTAGTGTTTATATCAATACTAACAAAGAGTATATTCTTTGATATGATTAAATCCATACTATGTTAGTGTTAATATTAACGATAAGAATTACAAAGGCGAATCATATGGTATTAAATCCGCACCTATATTTTTTACAGTACAGAAACGCGGCAAAGAATTAAATTTTTATTTCATAATTGCACGAAATTTAATCAATTAATTCAAAAGAAAATCACAGTAATGTAATAACATATGGAATTATGTCACCTTAAAAATCATGCATATATGTAAGTAAACAATAAATAATAATAATAAAATAATATCACGTATATAATACTTATGTACAATGTATACATTTTTTTTTAAGAGGACAAATGAATAAATGATAAAAAGTAATAAATGTTTCGATTTAATTGTAGACTAAAGAAAATAAAAAATAAATGTATAAAATAGATGTATAAAATAAATGTATAAATTAGATTCGTGGAAAATGAAAAAGTTTTTCATGGTAACAAGTAAACTTCGTGATATTATCAAATAACAAAATTAGAAAAACCACACGAATCATAAAATATCACAAGCATCATAAAAGAAAATGGTATTCGCGTGAGAACGAAAAAAGATCTTGAAATTTAACCGTAAACAATGTGCATTGTCAAATTTCCAGAACAGAAACGCTGAAATACGGATAATCACGTGCCATTGCATCTTGATACTCTAGTTTCGTCTCTATGGCACAGTCTGCATGCGCAAACTCATATCATCGGAGATCCGCCGATAGATCACGTTCGTGAGACAGGAAACGATCGGCACGCAACGAGGACAGAGGGAAGAAAAGAGACAGAAAGAAAAGGAGCAAAGGAAGAAAGAAAGAAATATCGAGAGGAGATCGAGAAGATTTATCTCCTTACCGAAAGGTTTGGATAGATTCATGAACCCTATCGATCGCTCAGCTAAGAAGAAAAGA